GACAAAAAAATTGTTAATGAACTTTAGAAAATTGTTAATGAGACGAAATTTAATTCTTCTTGCTTAGCAATTAAAACAAAAATTAAAAGGATCAGTCGGTGGTTGAACGGTTCACAACATTACATAGGAGAGCTCTCTGGATCAAGTCCCATGCAATCTTTTGGCATTTCCGTGAAGCCGTTTTACTCATTATAAGTAAAGTAGCCTTGAAAACGGGTATTTGATAAAATCCGGGTTTCGGAGCTTATCTTCAGGAATATATTTTAACATGACTATATTCGAGTTTCCACAGTCACATTAACGTTTTCAACAACTGTATGAAATCAGGGTACAGCCCAACCTGCTTCAAGATTTCCAAATCTTAACAAATTTAGTATTAAACGATTCCTCTCATCGAGCTAAAGAGATTGGTACCAAAGTTTATAAGGGCCAGAAATTTACCAGTAAGTTACTTGGGAGTGTCCCATGAACTTGGGAGTGTCCCGCACCTACTTCGGAGTGTCCCATGAAATCAACCGCATGCTCTTGCTTTTTCTCATTCTTTCACGTCTTCTAAAGCATGCTTCACTTTTTATCTTCATTCTGTTAAACTTCATTGACTAGATAGCTCATCTAAATAAATATCTGCCCTTCCACAACTTTCCATATTTAATTTACCTCTTAGAAGCTAAACATTATTTTTTTTTAATTATAAAATATTTTTTCAATAATTTCTAAATTTAAAATAAATTTGCTTTAAACTGAGTGTTTAAAGTTTTGTGTATGTAAAAGTGAAACCAGACTGTATACATTCTAGTAAATTTTGCTGATAACTATGTATATTGTAAGGATTTTTCGTCTAGCAGCATTTTAAACTTATGCGGGGGTTAAATGATCATAAGGATAAAAGAAAAAGCATTAGTTGTCATTGGTTTGAGATAATTTTTTATCAAAAAAGTTTAGCCACTAGGCAGGTTGAATCTGCGAAATTCACTAAAGTAATAGATTGTTTTTAAATTCACAGACAAATTGAAGCACTACCGAATGAAATATTGGAGAGTTTGGAATTACTCAATATTTTTATGTATATTATTTTTGTTAATTGTGAATTTGGTGGATTCGGTAGATAAACAAGAATTGGAAGGAAAGAAGGAAACGAGTAAAAATAAGGATAATGAATTAATTCGACAAAAGGATAAAGGAAAGGAGAAAATGACATTCAACGAGCCTGACCCTGTTACACATGAACAAAAGAATAAACAGATAAAGTTTGTGCTTTCCAAGGAAATGACAAAAGGTAAAAATGATGAATTTCAAATAGTCCAGTTCGAAATTTTGAGTAAATTGACGCTCAAAAATACTCCCATAAAATTTCGAGTACCGTGTCGGATGATTTTGTTTCCAATAAATAATCTACCTTTTCTCACAGTAGATTTGTTCTATGACGGCTAGCATGTATTTTAAGAAATTTAGAAACTCGGAAATACTCGAAAAAATCTCTAATTTTAACCGTTATAAAAAATCCAGATTATTAAAATGCAAAGGGATCAAATCTAGAGATAAATAAATTTTAAAAATAAAAAATAAAAATTAATTTTTCTTTTAATTTAGTCTATTTTCAAGCTATAGAAGAAGCAAATAAAATTAAAAAAGTCGAAGAATTTAACAGAATTTTCAAAAAATTTTACTTGATATTATTAAAGCCAGATTCATTAATTAAAGATTTTTCTAAGTGTAAAAAAATGAACAAAAATATTATTAAATATATAAATAATGCCGAAAATTTTGAAATTTTCGATAAAGTTTTGAAACAAAAACTGATAGAAAATGAGAAGAAAAACGAGTGTTTTGTAGTAAATAAATTTGAGGTTTTTGTTTATAATTAAAATTAATTTTAATTATATAAATTAAAATTCAAATTTAAAAATTAGAAGCAACTTTGACATTAAAATTTAGTTAAAAAATTATTTATTTTTAATAATTAAATATTTTAAACTCTACTTATATTTTTAGGAATTAAATAAGCATTTAAATTTATTGAAGGAAAATGAATTTTTTGAAATTTTAAATGAGATTTCAGACGAAATGAAAAAAATAAAAGAAATTTTTGGGAAGAAAAAAATATTTATATTATTTGAAAAATTGTATGGAAAAATAAAAATGAAGTTAAATATAGTAGGGAATAATGGAGAAGAAAATAAATTAGCGACAATTATGGAGGAAATTGAAGGAGAAAATGAAGAAGAGGATGAAAAAATTGGTGGAAATGAAGAAGCAAAGGGAGAAATTGAGGAAGTAAATGGAAATATAGTAGAAGATATTAAGCATTTATTCGTTGATTGGGAAAATGAAATAAAGGAAGAAAAAGAAAAATTAATTAAATCAAATCCTAAATTTAAGGAAATATTTGAAACATTTTTTGAGTTTTCCTCAACAATTAATGAAGAGGCAAAAGAGGTTTTAAAAACTAAATTTGAAATTATAAAAGAAGAATATCCGAAAATTGAAAATTTTTTCAAAAATGCCGAAAGATTTAAATGTTTTAAAGATTTAATTGAAAAGAAGAAGGGACAGAAGAAGTTAAAAAGTTTTGAAATAAAATATAAGGTAAATTACAGATTTGAAAAGTTTGTGAGTCCATTGAAAATTTATGAGTCCAATGAAAAATTAGAGCCCAATTAAAATTTTATGATCCAATTTTAAATGAGGGATTTGGCGAGGGATTTGGTGGGATTAAATAGATATCGGATGATTTAGAGGGATTAAAAATGGGTATCGATGGATTACGGAATATCAGGATATCTGGAGTGTTGTCGGATATCAGTAGAAAATTGCCTTTTATCCCCTAATCCACAGATATATTCATAAATTTTCATTGGACTCGAAAAGTTCATAGGACGCATAAATTTTCAAATCTTCAATGGCCCAGAGCATCAAAAAGTAGATTCTGTATTACCTAAATAATTACTTTGTCACGCATTTTCAATTCGGTTTTTAATATATTAAATTGGACTTAAGCCAAACAATGCTCAAACAAAACAATTTTTAATATTTAACTAAGAGGTTAAATGTTTTTACCATTATACATAACTATAAAGTATTAGATAAATATTTTTTAATTAAAATTTTAAGGAGGTTTATGAACAAATTAATTTTTTCGAAAATTATAATTTTTCAAAATTGCTGAAAGGAAAAGAAATTTGTGAGGAAATATTGGGCAATGATGGAGAAAACAATGAATTTAAAAAATTTGTTTGTGATAAAATTGGACTTTTTCTAGAAAATATTGGGATAAAATTTGAAGAAGAAAATAAAAATGAAAAAGAGATTCGTGATAAAATTCAGAATTTTTTTAAAGATTTGGAAAATAAATGGAAAGAAGAAAATCGAAAGAAAAAAGGAAAAGCTAAAAATAAATGTTCAAAATTTTTTAAAAAATTTTGTCGAAAGAAAGAAAAAAGTCAAATAACGAAGAATGATAAGGATCATCTTTGGAGAAATGATGGTCGTTACGGTAAAAATGAATGTGTGTAAACTAAAAATTACCCAACTTCAAAATGCCTGAAAGTTGCGGTCTGCCAATCGTATGATAAACTTTGACAGTTGTTTTAAAATTATGTAAAGTGCATAAATTTTGGGAAAATATCCTTTTATTTTTTCTATGTCCAGCAAATTATAATTTCAGACAAATTTTAAATTTGCTTAAAATTTTATGTCTGACTGGAAGTTGAGTGAATTTTACACATTAAATTATAATTGTGCTGACTAATAAACTTTTTTACTCAACTAAGATAAAAAATTTTTGTAACCCCATGAACAAAACCCAAGATTTGACTCTAAGACTCAAGACCAAAAATTAAATAGACTCAAGACTTCTTAAAAAGTCTTGAGTATTGTCTTCTAACCACATCTGAACCACTCAATCACCGATCAACAAGAAGATATAGATATTCTTTCCCTTCTCCTTCGAAAATTTAATTACAAGGTACGAGAGGTTTTTTTACAATACTAATATTTTTTCGTAATTTTTGTTTTTTTATTTTCGTGATTCGTAATTTTTTCCGATATTTTGGTAATCGTAATTCGTCGTAATTCGTAAAACGCCATAATTTGTATTTGTAATTACGACGCAACCATGCCCTTAAAATACCAAAAAAGCCAAAAATGAAGTCTAGCTTCTTGGCTTTCCAAAATTCTCAATTATCCATCAGGAATATAACGGGTTGAGATAAAAAATTTAAATCCCCGATTTTGGAGTAAAGAATGATATCGGGGATTTGATGAATTATTACATATATGTATGTATGTTATCCATTTGATTTAAAAATTTTATTTAAAATTTTGTCTTAGACATTTACATACGCATAAAAATAGTTAACCCGAAATATTTATCGAAAACCGATATTAAAATTTGTAAAAGTGAATATTTTATTTCAAATTTAATTTTTAAGAGGTAGTTTTATTCTCTTATTTATTCTCCCCAATTTTTAAATTCTCCATTTCTTCAAAGAGGTAAATTATTTAAAAATTTATTTAGGATATATTCAGCAATTTCAGGTGCATATAAATGTATCTAAAAAATAAAATTTTATTTAAAATAATTTCCAAAAAATAAATGTATTTATTTTAAAATAACCAACCAGTTGACCTTGACCTCGAACTTAAAAATAATTTTTTTAAATTTATTTTTTCTTAAATTTTTACCAGTTGTAAACGTCAATAACTTCCCATATTCAGTTTTAAACCCTCCAATTTGTCCATTAACTAGCCAAGGTTGTTTTGAGGTTGTTAACTTTAATTGAATTTTAAAAATATTTATTTCCCTCTAATATAAGTAACAACTTTTTGCCCAAGATTTTCAACAATTTTTTGTGCAGTTAAATAAATATTAAGTGCATCAGTATCTCCATTAAAAATTATTATTCTTATTTTTTCTTTCAATAATCCCTTCAATATTGGAGAAATATCATCTAAATATTTTTATTTAATTTTTGAAAAATTTTTCAAAAATATTCAAATACCATATTCAGTATGATATAAATATCTGCCAATAGCGCTACAAATTCTCCACTCATTATTCATTAATTGTATATGTAAGGCTTTTTGAACTTTAAAAATTAAAAAAAAAATATCTAATAGTATTAATTTAAGCATGAAGTATTAATTTAAGTTACAGTCAAATTTCGATTATATTTACTTACAGATTTACATAAACTCTGTTGTAAGGATACTTTAAATTTTGATTGAAAACAGGGGTTTATTTACACCAGGGATATCACGGGTAACCCGAAACCCAATACTCGAAGCCCGGACTTCTTTTCGACCCGAAATCTTGCCCAAGAAATTTTCCTTTCCAATAACCAACCCGACTTTTTCTTATTCCCGATTTACACTCCCGTTTTACATGCAACTTTTCATGCCGAAGTTTTATGCATAAATGAGATCTGACTTTATTAACTTAAAAATTTCGTTTTCTTCACAACTCTTCCTCAAACATAAAAACATTTCGCTAAATAATTTTAAATTAATTATTACCTTGTTCTTGATTCAAATAATTGTAGATGAATCCTGCACCGGAAACTATCAAATATTTAAAATTAATTACAAACAAAAAATATTCGTATTTAATAACATTCCGCTCATCGGGCTAAACATATCGAAAAAATTCCTGCCGAAGGAGAGAACTTTCTGCCCAAAAAAGGACTTATGCCCTTATGATTTTGTTATCCAGCAAAGAAATTCCTCAATATCTAAATTCACTCTTTAACTCGATATGAGTTTGAATCCTTTTTAAAAAGGATTTTTTGTTAAAAAAGTAATCAACCGAGAAAAAATCCTAATCAAAAATCTCAATTATCAATACCGAAATTTTCTCTAATTAACACAACATTCTTAATTTTAAAGATAATTTTTAATTAAAAGCCTTACTGTAAAGACACGGTTCTCCTGGTTGTAGATTTTCTTGAGGTATTGGACAATCTCTGTAAATATCGAATGGATAAACTCGTCGAGACAAAAGAACATCTACAATCCCAACCGTCTTAAATCATTAATTAAATTACAACCTTAATAAAACTTACCTTATATCTACATTCCCCACTCAAAAAATTAATATCACAATTGGAAGGATCTTAAAATTAATTTTTAATTTTTTGTTAAACAGTATAAGAAATATTCCCACCAACACACCCTTTACAACAATTTGCCTTAAAATCATTCCACAAATGTTCATCTACAAATCCACGAGAATAAGCGAATTGAGCGGCCATATTTTTATTTAAATAAACATTTAAAATTGGATTATCTAATAATATTCCCTTTAAAATAATTAAATTAATATTTGTCTATTTTAAAAATAAGTACAGTTGAACCTCACTATTCGGAGCACCACGTTTGGGTGCAGTTGCGTGAACAACCATAATTCTGTTTAGAATCGTCCACAATCGAGCTGATTCGCATGTCATTCGTCTAAGATCGCCGAGATCTTTCAAATGAGCTATAACCCCTTACATAGGATACGCGGAAAAAGTGTTTTCGCTGCGGAGTAGGCTGGAAGCCACTTCCATTCCATGACTTCATTTTTTAAATTGATAACCTTATGATGTCGGGGGAGGGGGGGGTAACGCTTATTTAAGCTAAACATGATTAGAAAACTTTTTCTACTCCAAGAATTTATCGTATAGTGAGGTCCGAATGTCTTTTACTTTTAAATTTAGTCGAAAATTTTTATTTCCATCCAAAACACGTCTAGCAAGCAATGGGGCAGTATAACCCGCATAAGACATTCCAGCAAAATATAATTCATTCTTTTTGTAATTTGGGTATTTGTTGAAAAATTGTTTAAGTGCTACATAGTTCTCATCAGCAGTCTGTTTATTATAATAATTAAAAATACATATGTTAATTATGTTATAGTCCCCTTGGAAAATAATTTATCTTTATATTATTCTGATCTCAACATTACAAATATTATGATCAGATTAGTAAGAATTAAGCTGAGTCGAACTTTCGTTATTTCAATATCGGGAACACGCAAATTCAACTTGAATGTCTTTAACGCTTAATAGTTATGCTCTATCAATTTATTGAGGCTGAGACTTTCTACATATAATTATTTTAAATTAATAGTAAAATCCAACAGGGAATAATATTATTTAATAAAAAATTTTTTTATAATTATTTTCATCAACCTGATTATCACCAGTTCTGTAATTATTATTTTTTGCAAACGAAAATCCATTTCCCTTCGGTGTTTCAATAAATAAGAGTGAGGCTCTCTTATTCCAAGAGTACTCATTTTTATCAAGAGTTCCATTTGAATTTATTGAATAAGGACCCATTTTTGAGAATAATATTGATAAAGGTGAGCAGCGCTGACTAAACTCTGCACCTGGGGCATTAAACCAAATAATCTTTATAATTTCGAATTTTTGAAAGAAATTATTTTTATCAAACCAAAGGTCCTTTTGGATTATTATTTTGCGATGTAACCAGCCAATAAAACAAAAAATCGTTATCCGATGCCTTCAGATATCCTTTAATTTAATATCAAGACCTCACTTTGGGATACAACCAATATTAGGTACCACCATTTAAAAGTTTTTAAATGAGGTTACTCACTCTATATGGGAATCAGGGGCAAGAATCAGGGTAAGTTTTGCATTTTGCGTTATTTGCGTTAGATTTTTGCCTTGAGTTTGCGTTTTTTGAGATAGTCTCTTGCGCTCATCCCTGATGGGAATGTTCAAAACAATAACCTCTTTTTAGGCTACACCTCGCTATTGGAATTTTTAGCTCCATGAGTGTAGTTTAAAGTGAGATCCGACTGTATATAATTTAAAAACACATTTTATTAACAATTTTAAATTACTTCTAAAAAATATTTACCAGAATATTGCTTAAAATTCGGTTTAAAATTTAGCCCAGGCAAAGAAGTAATTTCATCGGTATTACTTATATTTTGAGGTTTTACAGAATTAATAAAAATAAAAAGAATTAAATAAATTTGAATAAAAATTTTTAGAAAATTTTCTTTCTTCATTGCAATAAAAAATATTTTTTTTCCAAAAATGGATTGGTTTGAAAGCATTCTTTCGAATTTAAATAAATTATAAAATAAAATATATTAAAACTAACTGTGCAAATAATAAATTATTTTTTTATTTTTATTTTAATAAAGCTTTTTTAAAAATGAAAGCTTTATTTCGCTCGTTAACTCTTTGATGATTTTATGTTGCTTAAATAAAAATACTAAAAATAGTTCTAAAAATACGCTTCTAATAAAATTATTTTTAAAATGCCTATACCGAATATCCTTTAATAACTACCCTGGGTAATTATTGTGATGAATATTGAGGGGGATTTTTTGGGGGAGGATTTTTTATGCCGAAAGAAATCCATGATGTAATATGATTGACAAGCATTTTTTCTATTTTTCTGATTTATACATAGTTAATAAAAAATTTGTTTTGATGGTAGGAAATACTAAATGTAGAATCTCCGAAAAGGCCTTTTCTCTTAGAAATTTAAATTTCTAAATTAAAAAAATTTTTTTAAACGATCTTTTGTACATTTATGTATAAAAATAAATTTTTAAAATTCGATTCAATTTTCCTTTTTTCACCAAAAATCCAAAAATAGTAAACAGTTTTTATTATACACAAAGAAAATATTAAAATATAAAACTGTACAAATAAATACTAAAAATAAAAATTATTTTTCTTTTTATTAAAAATTATTAAAATATTAATTATAAACTACATATTTATTTTTTAATTGATTATTTTTTATTAAATTAATTTAAAAATTTTGTTTAAAAATTTGATGAAAATTGATGCAAGTTTGAATTTTTTAAGACAGTCAAATTATTTTTTCTTGAAAGGGTTTATATGTTTCTATCCAAAGTTTGTCAATTTTTAAATAATTTAATTTTAAATTATTTAAAATAAAATATTTATTTAGCTAGAATCAATAAAAAAATTTATTTTATTTATTTAAAATTGACTATCACAAGTGATAAATTAAAATTCAATATCACATGTAAATGCAAGTCTGCTTTAAAAAATTTTTAAAAGAGGAGAGAGAGAGAGATTAAAATTGTAGTTTGTAATTAAGTTTTTGGCCAGATTTCTACAAAAGAAATCTTGTTTCTCAGTCTTTTTTAAATCCAAACAAATTCGACGGTTAAAAAAAGTTGTTGATGCAAGTTTGAGTTTTTTAAGTCTTAAAAAGAAAATATTAGGGTGTAACATAAATAATTAGCCCCCCTTAAACCATGTACATTGTAAACTTTATATCTCAGTGTTCAGATATCCAATCTTTTTAATTTTTTAGTCATATATTCTTAATGAAGCCTTCTTCATTTTCTGAAAGAATTGAAATTTTTTCTCAACATACAAATTTCTTATGAATTTTTAAAGATCAAGGCAAAATTAAGAAAATAGTGTTCACCTCAAAGATGAGATTGAACTTGGACATTCGGAAAAGGAATCATGGCGCAAAATATGTAAAGCGAAGTATGAGGATCTTATCTCGTATTCCACAGAAAAAAGTTGGCTTTCCAAATAAAAGAAAGGTAGAGAGGAGCAGAAAGACAAATAACGTCTTGGATGCCAACCAACGGTAGATAAGAATGCCGTTCTCCGCTGATTCAAAGCGAATCCAAAAAATAAAATGTGTATATTGGGGCAGGCACTCACCTGCTCACTTACAAAAATTAACATAATTTTACTTGAAGCGGGTATCAAGTTATGAAGGGTCAATTGATACCCCATGAATTGCCGCAAAATTAAAAAAATCGCTAAGTCACTTTTGCAAATCAACCCCTTAAATGCCACAATGAAGCTCCTTATTTGAAACAAATTTTAACCTATGAGGAAGTGTGGGTTGCCTTCATGAATTCTGTAAACAAAAAGGACCTCTAACTCCTGACAACCTAATCCTAGGATTCTGATTTTTTGCCAGAAAATAGGCAACTCTCTTAGGATTATAAAAAAATATAATTCGAAGTCTGGAAACATTTAGTTGAATTTTAATAATTATTTAAACCACTTACCACATGGGGGGCTAATTATTTATGTTACACCCTAATAAAATATTTAAGCCATTTTTTCTTGAATGGTTTTGTATATTTTTATTTTAATTATTACCCAAAGTTTAAGCAAATTTTAAAATAATTTAATTTTAATTATTTGAAATAAAATATTTATTCACAAAAATAAAATAAATTTATTAATTATCACAAGTGATTGATTTAAAATTCAATATCACATGTATGTAAATGTATGCCTGCTTTAAAAATTTTTTAAACAGAGGAGAGAGAGATTAAAATTGTAGTTTGTAATTAAGTTTTTGGCCAGATTTCTACAAAAGAAATCTTGTTTCTTAGTCTTCTTTAAATCCAAACAAAGTTCAAAGTAACGAGGAATTTGAAGTAACTGAAGTATTTTATCCATTATAAGTAAAATAGCCTGGAAACTGGGTATTTACTTAAATCCGGGTTTCGGAGCTTATCTTGGAAATATGTTTCCATATGCCGATGTTTGATTTTTCAAAAACACTCACATTAACGTCTTCAACATCTATTATAAAATCTATCGCATGCCCCATGTTTCTTTCCATTCACGTCTTTTAAAGCATGCTCCATTTTTAACCGCTCGCATCTAATTAAATAGCTGTCTAATTAAATAGCTGCCATCGCATGGCAATTTATTGTGAGAGTCTGAGAGTGCGAGCGTCTACAATGGGGGGGGAGGGTATGGGCAAGCATTATACACTGAATTAAGTGCCTTCCCATATTTAATTTCCCCTCTAAGAAAATTTAAAATTATAGCTTTTAATTTTATATAAAATATTTTTAATTTAAATTTTAAATTTAATTTTAAAAGTCCTTGAAGTTTCCATTTGTTGTGATTCGAGGTAGTATATTTTTAACTAAATTTGCGTGATTGTACAAATTATTTCTTTAACCAATATAAAAAATCTTTCTTAAAGCTTTCTCTGTTAGGCTTTGAATCAGAAACTTATTTTTAACTATAGTGGGATATCTTTGAGTTAATGTCGATTTTATATTTGGGGGCCTCGCTTAGGCAGCTCACCTACTCATTGGACATAAAACTTTAAATTGAGACTTTTAAAGTTGGGTAGGTGTTTGTAAAAGGTAGGCACGACCATACACATTATAGAATCCGCGAAATTCGATACAGTGATCAACCTGTATTTAAACAGCACATTCAGATTGAAGCAATACCGAATGAAATATTGGAAAGTTTGGAATTATTCAATATTTTTATGTATATTATTTTTGTTAATTGTACATTTGGTGGATTCGGTAATTGAAAAAGGTGAAGAGGGGGAAGATGTTAAAGGAAAGATGAATTTGGTGGATTCTGTAAATAAAAAAGAATTGGAAAAAGGGGAAACAAGTAATGCTATAAATGAAGAAATTCCAAAAACTGTTGAAAAAAAGAAGAAAGTAACATTCAATTTAAGCAAACAGATAAAGGTTATAATTCCCAAATCAATGACAGAAGGTAAAAATAATGAATTTTAAATAGGGATTGCTGTAAGTCGATCCAATTCGGAGTAAATTGACGGAGTAAATTGACTCGTATTTCGGAGTAAATTGACCCATGAGTAAATTAACAGTCACTTTAAAATCTCGGATTTTATTTAATATACTTCCAATAATACATACATTAATTTTTTGCGAGGTCAAGACCCAGCCGAGACCGAGGTTCTCACCCATTTTCTCGGTCTTGGTTCGTCCTGGGGCCAATAAATATTAAGGAAGCAATTTACAAACGACAGATATATTTTTCACGCATATCGTTCGAATAAGTCGTTTTTCGAATACCTTGTCGATTGTCTATTTATTGGCCCTTGGCGTCAATCTGGGAACCTCGGCTTCGGTTGTTGCAAGAGACCTCGTCTAGGATCGAGGCTAAATATGTACATATACAGCCGAATTTATTTATTTGGAAGAAATGGAATTTTTTATTCTAAATTTTTTTCTCAAAGTGCTGCATAACCTCTTTTATCGGGTAGTTCGATCTCTAATTTTAATGTTACTAGAGATCAACCGGAAAATTAGATATCCAGCTTAAGTGTAAGATGTTTCTATTCACATATATATAAATTTAAAAAATTTTTTATCAATACTTTTCAGAATATATTAAAGTTTTAAACGAAGCAAGTAATATTAAAAAAGCCGATTATTTTACAGAAATTTTTTCTAAATTTTATTTGATTTTGTTACAACAAAATTCATTAATTAATGATTTTTCACGGTGCAAAGAGATAAACGAAGATATTTTTGAACATATAAATAGTGCTAAGAAATTTAAAATTTTCAATAAAGCTTTCACTGATAAAATGTTAGAAAATAAGCCTAAACTTGACTGGTTTCAAATATATAAATTTCAGGTTTTTACTTATAAAATTAAAATAGCCATAGTACATAATTAATTGATTTAACTAAAGTGTCAGGTTAAAACACCTTCTATTAGAACACCTTCTGGACAGAATATCATCCGACCAAAATAACTTATTAAAAATTATTTTATTTTTTAAAATTTTCATACATAATTTGTTACAAAGATTAATTATTGAAAAAGCCTAAGTGATAGAGTTCCCGAAGGAGTTCCCTCAATTCTTTATTATTAGTGAACGTGCATAAAAATTAGATCCCTCGCAAGATGCTGCTAGGTAGAACTCCTATTGCCGTACTATTTCTTACTCCCTGAAAAAATTGAATTTGGGGGAGAGGAGTCATTAAAACCAATTGGTTGTTTTTGATCGTTTTTGTCAAAATTAGTCTTGATATAACGGTAAATGTCCAGCTCGCATTCTACCTTTTGCAAATGCTGTCCGCAAACATTTGCAGAAAAAAATACTTTCCGTTTGCGGACAGCATTTGCAGAAGGTAGAATGCGAGCTGGACATTTACCTAATATAACAACTGTTTGATTGTTGTAATATGAATATTTAACAATTTCTAATACTGCCTACATACATATTTCAGCTTAAAAATAAATTTAAAAAGAATAATTTTTTATTGAGGTATTTTGATTAGTGTGTTCTGTTTGGAGGGTATTTTAGCATATTTTGTTTTGCCCGCACCCTTTAACTAACTTTTATGATCTCTAAATTATATTTTTAGAAAATGCAAGATAAATATTTCAAACCATTGAAGGAAAATAAATTTTTTGAAATTTTGGATGAGCTTGAAAATGAAAAAGACAAAATTGAACAAAATTTTGAGAATAATAAAATACTAGTTAACTATTTCAAAAAGCTGTATGAACTATTGAGGAATGAATTGGGAAATTTTGGTATTAAAAATATGTTTTTAAAAAACGAAAATGAAAAAAATAAAAAGCCTATGGTTAATGAAGAAATTAAGGGAGAAATTGAAGAAGGAAAAAAAGATGAAGAAGAAATTGTGAGGGAAAATGAAGGAATATTAAATGAAATATTTATTGAATGGGGAGATAAAATAATGGAATCTAAAGAAGAAAAAGAACAAATTGAATCTTTGCCCGAATTTAAAGAAATTTTTAAACCAATTTTTGATAAGTTTCTATCAAAAATTGGTGAAGAAGAAGCGAAAGAAGCTTTAAAAAATAAATTTGAAGAAATGGACGAAGAATATCCGGATATTCAATTCTTTTTCAAAACTGATAAAAGATTTGATAGTTTACTTCAAAGTTTTAATTTTTTAATTAAAAAGGAAAGAAATGGGAAGAAATTAAAAGGAGTTGAGCGAAAATATAAGGTAAAAATATTTAAAAATAATATGAAATAAGGCTGCAAGGCCTGCTGCTAGCCTAGCCGATCAGTTTCTGATTGAATTCTGAGTGGTTGTATTCCTGAAAAAGCAGCGCCTCGGGAGCTCAATCGGTAGAGAACCCGTTAGAAAACTGTAAGAAAATTCCCTTCGAATTTTGTAAGAAATATTCGAATAACCATAAAAGAATCAATAACTAAATGATTTTTTTAATTGATTATTATATTAAAAATATTTTTAATTAAATTTAGGAGGTTTATGAACAAATTAAATTTTTCGGAGAACATAATTTCCAAACTGTATTGAAAGGAAAGGAAGTTTGTGAGGAAAAAATGGAAAATTCGGAAGGAGAAAATGAATTTGTACGATGTATTTGTAATGAAATTGAAATATTTTTTAAAAATATTGGTATAGAGTCCAAAGTTAAAAATACTATCAACAAAGAAGAATATATTAAAAATGAAATTAAACATTTTTTCAAAGAATTAAAAAAGAAATGGAAAAATGAGAATCCAACAAAATTACAGAAAATTGTGAAACGAGTGAAAACATTCTTGAAAAAATCTTCGAAAAAGAAGGAGAACAAGGCAAAGAACTAAGACTTATTATTATGACAAAAAACAAAGATATGATTTTTAGTGAAAAAAGCAAATGATTGAAAGATTTGTAAATTAAGAATTATTTTAAAAATGTCTGACATTTGCGGTACATTATTTAAGTTGTAGATTTTGATTGTATTTTACAAGAGCAATGCCAATTACAATCGCTCTGTCAGATTACAAAACTTTGATAAAATACCAAAACCAAGCTTTATGAATTTTAATTCCAATCATGGACACAAATGTCAGGGTTAAATGTGCCCTCCGATTATATCACCTCAATTAAGTATCCCCTCATTTGTTAAGAATTTAACTCCTCGTGATTCTTTCTACATATCGTATATTTATTATTTTTAGAATTCTTTAAAATTTTGAACAAATCAGTTTTTTTAAATTTATTCACTTTTTCATTTATGGTATTAAATGTTTTTATAATTACATATTTATTTTTTAAAATTATTAGACGAAAATTTATACAAATTTCTCTCATATTGTTGAGATTACTGCAATCTAACTAGTGTTGTATGTGATATTTATTAACCGGTACTCTCGATTTTCGGTTAGTCCAAATTAACAAAATCCGGTTACGATTCTGAGTTTTAATTAAAACGTGTTTTATTTTAGGGAAATATTTATAAATCGTTCACTTCCAAGAATTTTCGGTTTTTGATATTTAAAATTTCAATTTTGGCAAAAATATAAAAATTTTCTGAGTTAAAATCAGTCGCCAACAACACTAATTTTATTTATTTCAAAAAATATTTATATTTATTATTTATTTTAAAATTTTTAAAGTTATTTTAAAAGTATGTAAAGTGCATAAATATTTGGAAAGTCTTTTTATTTTTATATGTAATATGTATATGTTGGGCGGAAAATCTAATTTTAGGCCTGGAATTTTAATTTTCCTGCTTTGACAAATTTTAAAACCCTTGGGCTTAAAAATGCCCTTGTCATGCCCTAGCTCTATCGACTACCCATCTTACACGTAAAATAAATCCTCATGACTGTTATTCTTTAAATCTCTATCTCTTAAAAAATTAAATCTCTATCTCTTAGCCCTTTGTCATGCTATAGCATTTGCCCTTTTAAAAATTTTAATTTTTAATAAATATTTTTGCCGACAAAACGCTCAAATTAAATAAAATTTAATAAAAAAAACTTAATAAATTAAAATTGAAGAGTCATAAATATATGAAGATAATTGGAGATAAGACGCTAGCGATATTTTTCATGAAAAAAACGGAGTTTCTATGTGAATACACTGTGTCACATGGCACTTGAAACCCGGACTTTTTCGACCTGAACCCTACCCGTCTTTTTACTCAATCCGTGATATTTCTGATGAGAATACACCTAAAAAGCTACAAGAAGCTTTCTTTCCTTCCATTAAATTTTCTGAACAAAAAATATAAATAATTAATATTTATTAAACTTATTTAAAATACTTGACAAGAAATTAAAAAAAAACTATTTATTTAAAAGAAAATAATTTAAAATTAAATTATTATTAAAATTAATTATTTTTATTATTATCATTCCTAATTAACTTTTTCATCAAATATTTTCTATATTTCTTTATTTTGAATAAACGATTCAATTAAATATTGCATTTCTGCTCCTTTCTTTTGTGGGACCTTGAAATAAAAAATTATTATTATTTAAAAATATTTTAAAAATAATTCTCGCCATATGTCCAGCACCACGAACTTAAAAAATAATTATTTTTTTTTTAATTTTTCAAATAAAAATACTTGTAACAAAAGACAACCCTCCTTCATAAATTGTTCTAAAACCGCCAACTTGACTCCGAAAAACCCAAGGTTTAGCTGGTTTAATCAACTTTAAATAAATTTTTAGATATTTAAAAAATTAATTTTAAACTTTATATCCCAAATTTGAAGCAAATTTTGAACCCAAAATTAAATTACAACGCATATCTGTGTCCCCATAAAAGAGTAACACTTTAACATTCGATTTTAATGCTTTTTTTATATGAAATTCAACTCCATCTTTAAATATTTTGAAAATTTATATTTAGAAAAATATTTTTTAAACTAACGGTATATGTTTTTATAAGAGTCAACTCCTCTAAAAATATTAAATAAAATACACATTTAAATTTGCCCATTGACATTTGCGGACAAACTTGAAAAGTTGTAATATATAACTACGGGTGCAATGATAACTAAATAAATCTACTTTATACTGAAGTCCTCAATCAGAATAAATACACCTTTATTTTTAAATTTTGGCTATCCACTTACAGGGGGTCTGACTAAGTAACTATTCTGACTCGCCCTGACTAATCCCCATTAACATACCACTTAATTTTAGTTAAAGATTTATCAACCCCAAGAATCCATGTTAATGAGTGTCCGCAAATGCCATCAAATGACTTCAACTTACCCACAAACATGCCAACGATTTTCACTTTCTACATGTAATGCCTCACGGACTTTAACTATTTTCTTTAAAAATATTTATTTAAAAATACCTTTAGGTTGATTTAAATAACTAGTCATATCATATTCTAATTAAAAATTATTAAACATATTTTAATTTATTTATAAATTTTACCATTTTCACAAACAAGTTCAGATAACTGTAATTCTTCCCCAACCTCTTCTGGAGAACGATTGGGGAATTTAGCTGCTCTTCGATTAGCAATAAATAATTCTAATTGACGCATTTCAGAAGCATCATCACTCAACTCTTAAATTAAAAGTTTAATAATTAAAAAAAATTTTTTTGACCGCATTTTTGGTAAATATCATAAGGATTTAGACCAAATCCAAAGCCTGAAGGTAAATCCTTAAATAAGCCAGAATATTTTCATTAAATTTAAAATTATATTAACATACGACATTAGAGAGATCACAAGTATCTTAAAATTGTTTTTCGATTAAAAAAAATAATTTAAATTCAAAATATACCTGTATTCCCTCTACAATCTTCTAATGCGACTTGTTGCCATTCGCGTTCATCAAGCATCCCATGTGCATAATTATAACGTATGCGAGTATCCTCCTCCAAACTAATATTGATATATCCATTGCCTATAGCCATTCCCTGTTTTAAAAAATATTTCTTATTGTTTTCATTGTGTGGTAATCTTTATTTAAAATATCTCCATATGGTCTTAAATCTGTATTTAAATTATCTCCATATGGTCTTAAATCTGTATTTAAATTATCTCCAATGAGGATATGATTTTTGGGATTTTTTTATTTAGTTACTAAATAATTTCTAAAGACACATTTTGGCCACTCAATTTAAAGAATATTTTATTTTAACAAAAAATAAATTATCTTTACTTTAAAATTTAATTTGTAATCTTCTTGCCCATCAATTATTCGTTCGGCAAGTGTTGGACAATAAATACCGGCATAAGATTCTCCAGTTATGTAAAGATCATTGTTTCGATATTGAGGGAATTTAATCAAAAATTGTTTAATTGCCTCATAATTTTCTTGTGAAGCCTTTAAATTTAATTTAGGTAAATATTTTCGAAAAAAATTAAACTGTATCATCATTCCATTTACGGTCTGAACCAGCGATAGAAAACCCAACTCCGGCAGGCCCTTCCAAATAAACTACATTCGCAATACGATTCCAAGGGTGAGGGTTTTTCGTTAAACTTCTCCCATCATTTGAAGCCAAATAAGGACCATGCTCAGAGAGAAGTCCAAGAATTGAGGAACATCCGGGCCCTCCATTTAACCAGAAAAGGAGTGGGTCATCGGTATTATTGCGCATAGATGCCACAAACCAATAAAAAAGTTTATGCTGTGGAGATACTTGTAAATAGCCTTTTAAATTTAAAAATAAGTAGACTAATTTAAATTTTTAAATTTAATTTGAAGGAAAGAAGTCATTTTTATGTAAAAAACTATGAAAAGATTAATCAAATGCATGAATATGTAGATCCTAATAGCAGTTATTACAACGTTCTTCGAATGGTTTAAGAAAGCGTTCAGATAATTTCTCTCTAATACGTTTTAATGTTATCTAGCAGGACATTCCCTTACAAAATATCCTTAACTTAAAAATCTTCGAAAAGTTCACTCGACTATACGCATAATAATTTAACATTTAAAAAATTCTAGGATAATAACCTGAAAAATGATCAAAAGCAGGCTTAAAGTCAAGCCCTGGTAAATCAACTATTTGATCATCTTTAAAGGCACATATACTCGACAAAATATAAAACAAATAAATAAAAAATAAATTTAATTTAATAATATTTTTATTCATTTTTAGCCAATTTAAAATAATTTAGTGTTATTTTTTGACAATTTTGTGTTGGTATTTATATAATTTAAAAAGTAGGTTATAAAAATAAAATTAAACAAATTTATTTTATTATTTTTAATAAAAAACATAAAATTATACACTTTTAATAATTGTTTGCTCATTTATTTAAGGAAAAGCATTCAAATTCTTTTAAAAAGTAAAAAAGTTTTATTGCCAAAATTGCGCAAAATTTTGTACGAAAATACTAAAAATGGTGGTAATATTTACATATTACTATTTTTATTTCTAAAATTGTACAAAAAGTAAACAAGCATTTTTTACAAATTAATAATAATTATTTAATAGTTTAGAAAATAAAAGTAAAATCTTATGGCTTTTAAAAATTTTTATATTAGACGTATGTGAAAGAAGTGCTGGGTATTGGACTTTTATCCCTCTCTAGTTCCGCCGCAGGCGAGATTTTTTTAAAGTCTGGAAGATCCTTAAGCCAGAAATCTTCATTTTCTTGTGAAATTTGAAAGGCCAAGTGTTCGAATTCTTCTATTTAAAATTATATGCAACTTTTTTGATAAAAATATGTTTATATTAATTTATTTTCCGAATAAAAAACAATTATGTATCTGACCGTTTCTTATGTCAGGGTTCGTAAAACTTAGCTTAACACAAAAGTTATTTTTCAATACTTCTCACATCCTCATATTCTTCACTTTTCTCTTTCCTACACCATCTTTAGGGATTATAGCGGAGCCGATAACCACGACAGATTGAAATACTTTGAATATATCGGAACCGATTCCAGGACTGGTTGAAATACTTTGAAATTTGCTATTAACAAACCAAATTTTCAGAAAAATATTACTGTTGGCTGTTAGGGTTGTGAAGGTTTAAACTTCTAATGGCACAAAAAAAAACAGTAAACGACCCCATAAATTCCCGCAAAAATAATTTGAGAGAGTTAAAGAAATTTATCTCGGAAGTGAAATTTTTCTGGCTATTTATATTTGTTATGTTTAGAGCAAATTTCAGACTAATAACCTAGCATAAAAATTTAAAACAATTTATAAAAGGTTGAAACAGACTAATGTAGATGATTCAATACAACAATAAAATAAAATTTGGCTAAAACCTTGTGGGATTTGTTTTTGAAAACAATTATTTATTTTCAATTTTCGATTGTTTTATATATATTAACTCAAAGAAATTGAAGGTTATTTAAATTAATTAAATTAATTAATTAATAAAAAAAGTTAATTAAATATTTTCATGTCAATGTACAAATCTCTGCCATTGTCTACTATTTAATACCTTTGTTTAAGAATTAAACAAAGGAATAGAGGGAGAGGAGAGGAGGAGGGCAGAGTCATATGGAATTTAATTTATATGGGGGAGGGAGGGGGGGGGGGGAAGGAGGGGGAATTACCCTCCTCTCAATTTACCCCTCCTCTCAATTTACCCCTCCTCTCAATTTAAACCCTCTCAATAACGCTATTCATTTTATTAATTTTTAAGAAAATTTTTTATAAAATAATTTAAAGCATATAGACTCATAAATCAGAGGGCTACCCGACTAGGATATTAGGCAAACTTTTACTAAAATTAATGTAAGAAGCTATTTTTAATTTCAAATAAGGCTTAAGATGAACCTGAAATGACCTAAGATTATAATGCAGATAACATAAAAATCGTCTTCTGAAAAAAAGTTCGGGCCAAATTCCTTAATTAATAATCTTCCGGCCAAATTCCTTAATTATTTATTGTTTTTATTAAATAAAATCTTTTTGTATATCCATTTATCACTTATCTTATATTTAATTTATTGGAAATTATCTTCATAAGTTAGGTCCTCAAATGTATGTCAAATAAAACAAATTCACTTAAATTCGGTAAAATTCCGAAATAGAAATAAACTAACAAAATTGTAAAACGATTTGACATAATTAGAAAATAACACCGAGTTCATTGCTTTCCAGACATTGAGGAGTTCAGAAAAAATATTCTCAGGCTTATTTATATGAAATATAAAATATATAGTTATTTCTGTCCTAACTAGAATATTCTAAAATTTTTGGAAATTTGTGTCTTTCATTTATTAAATTTAAGATGAAAATTAATTTAGCAATATTTTTATTGCTTTTATTATTTTCATTATTAACCTGTTTAAAAGCTGTTAAAAAAAGAAAATATGATCTTCGATCAGGAGAAATGGAAGGTGAAACCTCAACTTCATTAAATCCAAAAGATTTAAATGAAAAACATGCCGAGCATGGATACAATTTACGTTCATTAAAAAGAAAAAGGAAAACTCATCGAATCTTGGTTATTGCTGGGTATAACACATTTATACAAAGCCATTACAAACTTGCTAAAGGACTTTCTTTGATTCTTGGAGATAGTGATTTGAAAAAATATATTGAATTTATTGTAAGTTGAAAACGATAGAATTGGAAGCTTATCCTCGGAGTTCCGTCATACACTGTCAAGACCCACGATGGCCACTGAGATACCTACCGATATACATATTATATATAAAAACATAAAATGTTTTGGAAATATATCCCGCATAAGTTTGTCAGAATTTCTGAACATTAATTTAATAAGCTATGATTAGGGAAAGGATTTTTGTGAAATACTGTATATGCTCGAATAATTATCTTGCTAATTATTGTTTCAACTCTCACTAG